TCTCGGGAACGAAGCTGAAATTTTAGTGTAATAGCCCCTTGCCCACGCACGACCTTGACTATTCAAATTCAGCGTTTCCGCGCTCTCGGGTACCACCTACGGCCCCGTGAAAGTTTTGGCGGACAAATTGTTATTTCGGGAAGCACGGAAGCTAGGAAGCTGAAATTTTATGGATATGTTCCTTGCTCACGCATGACCTAGAAAATTTAAATTTAACCTTTCCGTGCCCGCGGGTAACATATACGGCTCCGTGAAAGATTTAGTGGATAAATTATCTCAAGAACCACGGGATCCAGGAAGCTAAAATTTTGGAGTAATGACCCCTACTCACGCACGATCTCGCAAATTGAAATTCAGCATCCCTGCGCTCTCGGATATCACCTACGGCCCCGTGAAAGTTTTAACGGGGAAATTATTATCTCGAGAACCATAAAAGCTAGGAAGCTGAAACGCCTTCTGTTTAAATAAAATCCTGCAATTTTAAATTCAGCTGCCCGTACGCCCGAGCATCACTTACGGCCCCGTGAAAGTTTCGGCGGGGAAAACTATTACCTCGACAATCGCTGAAGTTGGGAATCTCAAATTTTAGGGTGACTTCCTCTACAAACGTACGATCTCGCAAATTTGAACTCAGCCTTCGCACATCCCTGGGTACCACATAGAGCCCCGTGAAAACTTTAATAGATATTTTCTCGTGTGCGTGAAATTTTTAGTGGGAAGCTCCGCAACTTAAGAACCAGACAACATTTTAACTATTTTTGCACAGACCAAAGTGCAAAGCAGTGGAAATCATTAGCAGGCAATCGTTCGGCAAACGGAATTGCACAAAACACATGATCGTACTGGCTGCCCTGTTGCGCGTCGCTATTTATTAATTGCAATTTTGGAAATGTATTTTGTTGTAGTGCAAAAAAAAAACATCCTCAATATCACTGGCTTTGAGAAGTAATCTTTGATCCAAGCAGAATTTGTCGATTTTTTCAGCAGAAGTGAAATTTATTTCTTTTTAAAAACCAAGCGCTGAAATACGTATGTGAATTGAGGGTAGCTTACTTCAGTGAGATCGCCAAGTATTGCTGCATTTTTCAATCGAACAAATGCCGTGATATGATGAGTCAGGAAGTCCACTTCACCGACCAGGATATTAGACGCTTCCGCACCAGCTGGTAGCTTCTTCATGAAATGCAAATTACCTTTCATATCGACATGAGAACCCTCTCGTGTCATCTCTTTCGGCACTGATCCAACCTGGAGAAAAGGCAACAACATTCATTTTTAAACACATTTAAAGTGCTTCTTCTTAAAAAGGGCTACTAGGTCACCACTGATTTACCCGTGTAGCCGAAACCATACCATTTTTCTTCTTATTTATTTCATGGCTGTTTTGACCAGCCAACGCATCGCTTAATCGTCAACCTTCTGGCGATCTGATATTCTTTTAATCGCTTGAAGGGTTACCGATTTAACGGTACTCCTGGCGAAAGTGGCTTCTGAGCATGCCATATTTCAAACGGCAGTAGGCGACGTTTTTCATTTCACTGGAACGTGAAATTTTTATTGTCGGAGATTTTCAGCTACCCAAGGAGCCTGCTGTATTAATGACATGCAAGGGCAAAACCAGCGCACGGTTTTTATGGTCAACATTTCCACGTCAATTTGATACTGGCCTGAATTCAAATTTTCCACTTTTTGTCCAATCCTTTGCTTTTAAAGCAAATTATCTATTCCGAATGATTTTTATGCCTCTCTGGAACAAATTTAACACCCACCGATCTAATCTGATGCATTGTGAGCAGTTTCGACACATTATAAGGGCGAAAAGGGCGCTACTTATTTCTTTCTGCTCTTTTCTTCGTCCCCTCTCATTCCACTTTTGATTTCTTGGATACTGTATTATCTACTAAAAAATCTACTTTAATTTCGATTCCACTGCAAAATTCAAAGCAGTTGCCAAGGTCCAAAGTTAAAACCTTCTCCGTATTTAGCTCTTAGTGAAAGACAGAGGAACTCGCGAAGCAGCCCGAGTAATAACAAGAGCCAACAGCAACCATCCGCTGGTAAGGTTGCCGATGGTTCCTTTTTCTGAGTGTGCTTACAAGCAAGCCGATGGCGGGCTATAACGAGGAAAAAAGCTGATTTTCTTTTGAAGCTAGTGGGATCTATCATGTTTATCCAAATATATGCATAAATCCATATGCATATTCATAAGCAAATTCATACAACACATAGTTATATACGCTCACACATTTCCATTCTAGTTTCAGAAAAAAAGTGAAAGTAATATGCCCAATTTACAAGCAGGGGGCGGGGCAGGCGGGAGGGAGGGGG